CCGAGGTCGCAGGGGCACCGGGCGCGGGGCCCTGGGGAGGGCGCGCTCACCGCTCATTTGCTCCTGGAGCCAGTCCTTGAACACGGCCACGCGGGTGTAGACCCCGGGCTTCCCCGGCTCCCCGCAGCCATCCCCCCAGGAAGTGACTCCGAAGAGGACCTCCCTGGGGCGGGGGCCGGGCTCCGAGCAGGTGAGGGGACCTCCGGAGTCGCCCTGGGGGACGGGGGGGGGCTCTGTGGCACCGGCCTCACCCCTGCGTCCTGCCCCCCACGCCCCCCCATCCGTCCGAGCTCATACCTGGCACGAGTCCACGCCTCCCGCCAGGTACCCCGCGCACAGCATGGAGCTGGGGCGCAGGCCGGGCCCCAGGGCCCTCCTGCAGGTGTCCTCGCTGAGCAGGGGCACCCGGGCCTCCCTCACCGCCTCAGCCTCCGGCCCGTCTGCGGGGAGAGGGTCCGTGGGAGGGGATCAGGTTTGGAGGCAAGAGGCAGAGACTTTTAGTTTTGGGTCGGTCATGGGCTTGAACTCGGGGCCTGGGCGCTGCCCTTGCGCTCTTCGCCACTGCGCCACTTCCGGTTTTCTGGGTGGCTCCTTGGAGATAAGAGTCTCCCGGAGGGGCTGGGAAGGTGGCTCAGTGGTAGAGCGCTTGCCTTGCATGCATGAGGCCCTGGGTTTGATTCCTCAGCACCACATAAGCAAAAAGACAAAAGCCGGAAGTGGCGCTGTGGCTCACATGGTAGAGCGCTAGCCTTGAGCTGAAGAGCTGAGGGACAGCGCCCAGGCCCAGAGTTCAGGCCCCATGACCGGACCCCCCCCCCAAAAAAAAAAGAATCTCCCGGACTTTCCCGCCCGGGCTGGCTTTGAACCGCGATCCTCAGATCTCAGCCTCCTGAGCAGCTAGGGTGACAGGCGTGAGCCAGCTGTGTTTTAGGGGACCCCCCTCCACCGGCCTCCAAATCCCCGTTCACCCCGCGCGGCCAACCCCGACCTGACCCTACCTTCGAAGAGGGCCCCCCAGCCCGCGATGGAGCACGGGGTGCCGGCGGGGGGCTCGGGGGGGCCCCGGGGCAGGCACACGGGGCGCGCCGGGCCCGCAGGGCTCACGGGCGTCCACAGCTGCACCAGGGCCAGGTCATTGTGGAAGGTCTGCGGGTCAAACTGGGGACGCGGTTCAAGGTCAAGGTGGAGAGGGGGTGGGGCGCTGTTTCCCCGGCTGGAGGGGGGGGCTGCCCCCTCACCTTGGGATGGGGCAGGATGCGGTTCACCGGCACCTCCTCCGCCTGCTCCCCGCGGGGCCCCTCGGCCAGAGCCACGGTCCACAGGAGCTCATTGGAGGCGCTGCAGGGGGCGGGGGTGGCGGGAGGAAGGACAGGGGGACAGGGGGACAGGCCGATGGATGGAGTCTGTGTCCCTCCGAGCACTGCCCCCGCCCCGGGCCTGTCCAAGGACGGAGGACGGGGAGGTCTGGGCCCGGTGGGAACGGTGGGACCCGGGCCCGGCGGCCGCCAGGGGGCAGCAGAGAGCCGCTCTCCCCGCCGCCGCCGGGGCCCCGGCTGGACCTGACTGGGGGGGGGAGGGGGGGCAGGTGCCTGGGAGGAGGGGGCTGACGTACCCCACGAAGCAGTGGGCGGCCGTGAGCACCCAGGACGCGGCCACCAGGACGCCGCCGCACAGAGGCTGCCTGCCCAGCCGCAGCCGCACGAGCCAGGGCCAGGCCCCCGGCGGGGCCGCGCTGCCCCCGACGATGCGGCCGTGAGCCCGGGTCACGTTGGCCGCACCCGGGAGTCTCTCCCCGCATGGCCCTGGGATGGCAGGAGTGGAGCCGTGAGGGACAAGGCGTGGCTGGCCGCCCATGGAGGCTCCCCTGTGCTCAGGCCTCCTCAAGCCTCTACTTGGTTATTATTTATCCTGCCCGTACTGGGGCTTGAACTCAGAGCTTGAGCAAGGCCTGAGCCTTGGCTTTTGCTCAGGGCTTTTGCTTTACTCCTCGAGCCACAGTTCCACGTCTAGCTTTACTTATTTATTTTTGCAGCTAATTGGAGATAAGAGTCTCCTTGACTTTGCAGCCCGGGCTGGCTTCGAACTGTGAACCTCAGATCTCTGCCTCCTGAGTGGCTAGAATGACAGTTGTGAGCTGGTGGTGTGATCCACAGGGGCCTGGCCCTCCTCTCAAGCCTTTTTAACCTCACCTGGCTCTGAGGGCTCCTGAAGGAAGGAGGCCAGATGCCTGGGGTGTCCGGGTCCTGCTGAGAAAAAGCCTTGTCACTCCTTCGGCCCCTCTTCCCCCCACCTCTAGGCTGGGCCTGAGCATCTCTATTCCCTAGTAGCTCTTCCTGACCCCTCCCCACACAGAGGCTCCATTTGCACAGCTACGGGCCTCTGGTTTTCCACATGAGCCCAGATTTCCCCCCACTTTTCTGTCTTTGCACACGCAGTGCCCAGAGCCTAGCAGAGAAACCTTCACGAGTCGTGGCTGGGTTGTAACACACCCCATCGATGCCCCCCCCCAAGATGGCTGGGGAGGGAGAGGGAAATGAGCACAAGTTCACAGGAGGTGTGAGTGTGTGGCATTGTTGGCACAACCTTGGCACCCATGCAGCCTGTGCTGGATCTCCATCGCCAAACTCATTACAGCCCACTGGGCGTTCCTCCGGGCAGCCTGGAGCACCTGTGTCCCCTGAGCCGACAGAACTGTGGAAACACAGGATACAAAGTCATTCTGGGCGGTAGGGAAGAGTCTCAAGGTAGTCGTTTGCCCTAGCTCCCAAGCCTTGCTTTTGTGGGGGGAACCACAAGAAAGCAGGGTGAGCTTCCTGAGCACCAGGAAGGTGGAGGCTACGGACAGGGTGCCGGGCCCCCGGGCTCCCAGAGGCCCAACTTTCAGAGCAGATGTTCAGAGAGTTCTCAACCCAGGATCCGGCTCGAATTCAACTGAAATCCCTGCAAAGCCCTTGTACTTCAGGCCTTCAGGGAGGCAGGCTCTGGAGCCTCACGCCTGTCATCCTAGCTACTCAGGAGGTGGAGATCGGAGGATTGCAGTTAGAAGCCAGCCTGGGCAGGAAAACCTGTGAGACTCTGTTTCCAATGAACCACCAAGAAGCCAGAAGTAAGTGCAGCTGTAGCTCAAATGGTAGAGCTCCAGCCTCGAGTGTAAGAGCTAAGAGACAGCACTCAGGTCCCGGGTTCAAGCCCCAGTACTGGCACCAAGAAAGAAAAAAAAAGTTTCAGAGGAAAAACACTCTTCCAGATGGAGCTATTGCAGATCTCAGATCTGGTGACCTAATGTCACCATGGCTGAGGTGTCCTGCCCACCTTTGGACCCAGATGGCCGAGGCATGCTGCCTGGGCCTTGTCCTGGATCTACCTGGAGCCGTGTCTAAGTACCCTTTGCCAATACTTGGTGGCTCCGTTTCCAGTGCTCTGCTTCCTGTCTGCTCCTCTCTCACTCCTTTACCTCAGTTGCTGGCCCCTTGTCCCAGCAAGTGGGCCGAAGGGCCTACAGGTGTGCTCACGTGAGTGTGCCAGGCTCAGCTTCATCGATGCCCTCCCTCCTCACCTGTTCCCGGCTCACCTTGCAGGGTGCTGGGGGGCAGGCGCATGTACAGTGGGTGCCCGAGGGCAGTCCTGAGGCCTGGCATGGGCAGCAGCAGCAGCAGCACAGCCAGTAGCATGGTGACAGAATCCTCTTTTCTCCGGGGACTCACTTCCCCACGCTTACTCTTTAGTGTCTGCCTCCCATGTCTCTCAGCCCCCACGCGTGGAATTGTTTGCCACTGATATGGAAACTCACTCACTTGCCATGGTCTGCGCCCACCTGGCCATCACCTCCCTCGAGCCCTCCGGGAAATGGGGCTGCGGGGGGCTATATAGAGGACAGGAGCGGGGGTGCGTGGGAGGGCAGCCAGGACCGGCAGAGGGAATGAGGTAGTGGGCTCGACCCTCACCTTTGATGTCCCATCATGCCCACTCTGAGCCCCTTCTGTCAAAGGAGCCCTTGTTTCTGCGGTTCCATCAAAGGGGCTGAGACAGGGAAGAAGAGCTGACGGTTGGGCCAGGGGCCAGGCAGAGGGGGGCTGGAGGGCAGGGACTGGGAGGGGGCACCCCATCTGCTTCTGTGCCCCCCCCGCCTGGGGAGTTTACAGCCATGATGGGGGCAGACACTCTTAGGGGAAGAAGGGCAAGGGGATGTTTGGGGAGGGGGGGTCTTCCATACCCCCCCCAGGAAGCCACTGAGATCCCAGCCCCTGTGTCCCTAATTGCTTGGCAGCGCCCTTCCCCAGTGCGGCCATTTCTAAAGATGATCAAAGCATCCTAATTAGCGCCGTAATTGCCGCGCTGGAGGTAGTGGGGTGGGAAGAGGCGACCAGGCGGATGCTGGAGTGGCCCACAGAGGAAGCGCGGGAGATGAAAGGCCTCACAGTGGCCCAGTTTGGGGAGGACAGGCCCTAGAAGCTTCTGAGGCTCTCCCAGACCCCGTCCCTCTCCCCCTCCCTGCCCGCTCAGCCTGCCCAGCATTGTTTTCAGTTGCTGTGGTAGTGATCTAGCAGGAGGGGGTCCCTTAGGGAGGGCCACACATGGGCAGCTCTCCTGGGATCCAGTTACCCATGGGGGACAGGGGAGCCCTGGGCCCTGTGGAAAAATGCCCTGCTCCCCAATCCATATTGGGGAGACTGGGGTCACACAGGAGTGTCTGATCTGTTCATCTCCAGAGGCCCTGCGGAGGGACAGCTCCCCGCACAATGCCACCCTCACCCCGGCTCCCCTGCGCAGCTCCTCACGCTTCACAGTCCACACATGCGGGAAGACGCTGGGCCTGGACCATCGTGAGAAGCTGAAAGTCTCACTGGAAATCACTCATTCATCAGGGTCTACCACGCAAGGTTTCTTCCCCTTCTCTTCTTCCTCCTCTTCCTTCTCCTCTTCTTCCACTTCCTCCTCCTCTTCCTCCTCTTCTTCCTCTTCTTCCTCCTTCTCTTCTTCCTCCTCCTCTTCCTCTTCCTTCTTCTCCTCCCCCCTCCACTCTTCTTTCTCCTCCTCCTCCTTTTTGTGCTGGTTCTGGGGCTTGAATTCAGGACCTCCTGCTCTTGCATGGCATTTTTTGCCCAAGTGTGGTACTCTACCACTTGAGCCACAGCTCCACTTCTGGCTTTTTGCTAGTTAACTGAAGATAAGAGTCCCATGAACTTTCCTGCCCCAGCTGGCTTTGTACCTCAGTCCTCAGATTTCAGCCTCTTGAGTAGCTAGGATTACAGGTATGAGCCACCAATACCTGGCCACACAGCATTTTCTTTTTCTTTTTTGCCAGTCCTGGGGCTTGAACTCAGGGCACTGTCCCTGAACTTCTTTTGCTCAAGGCTCACAGTCTACGGCTTGAGCCACAGGGCTACTTCCGGCCTCTTCTGTTTATGCAGTACTGGGGAATTGAACCCAAGGCTTCATGCATGCTAGGCAAACACTCTACCACTAAGCCACATTCCCAGCCCCTCAGAGCATCTTCTTATGCATGACCGTCAAATGCTGGGGCAAGAAAGTCTGAACTCAACACTGCCTACATTTACCCATTTGGCTCCTGAGTTCCTCTGGACCCTACCGAAGGCATGCAGCCAGGCTGTGGCCTCCCTTCTTCGGCCAGAGCCTCTCAGGGTGGGAGGCCTGGAGAGGGGCACCTGTTCCTCTTACTCCAACTCTGGGTAAGAACCCAGCCACTGCCCAAGACTTACTAGAGCCCTTGAAGATTGCAGTCCTGCTCTTCCACGTCCTGCCCCCCTCCCCCCACCCATCACCCCCGCTCAGTTCTCTGGCTTCTCTACCCACCCTGTTCCCAGCGCCTCCTCATCAGCCCCGTCCTCTCCACCCCCAAGTCTGGGTCAGTCTCGTTCACTGCCTCAGCAACTCTCTTCAGAACCACATCAGAATCCGTGGCTCCTGACCTCGGTTTGTTATTGTTATTTGCGCCTGCGCCTGCAGTGTAGCCGCTCCTACCTGCTTCTACCACTGGGATATGATGGAAAGATACATCCTGTCACTGTCCTTTGCAGGTCCTTACGACCTGGAAAACACACACACACACACACACACACACACACACACACACTGGGAATGGGAGGGAAACTCACCCAAGACCTGCCTGGAGCTGCCTTTAGGGGTAGTGTCCCTAGTCAGAGCAATGGCGCCTGCCACCATGCCTGCTCTGCTGACCACAGTGTCCTCCTGCTGGTCACAGAAGTGGCCAGCTCATGGCCACCTGAGTGCAGGGGTGGTTGATGTCAGGGCCATTGTGGGAAGAGAGGCCACTCAGCCATGATTCAGAGCTCAGACCTAGGGTTCCGACTGCACCCCTGGGTAAACTTAGGTGAGTCACTTCCTGTCACGGGCTGTATGACAGAAAGTCATGTCTCTTCATAAAGATATTCTGGAGGTCTAATGCCCAGTGCCTTGGGACATAACCTTAGCTGGCTATAATGGTGCTGCCTATGTACTTCGTAAAAACAAGGTCATACTTGGGACTTTAGTGCCTCACGAGAAGCACAGAGATGGTTGCAGGGGCTGAAGTGGGGCAGACACTGGGGGCAGACATATTTGCAAGGCAAAGAATGGCAAGGATTGCCAGCTGCACTGGAAAGCAAAAGACCATGGAACAGAATCTGTCATGGAACCTTCAGGAAAACAGGCCATGTATCCTTTCCTCCACTTCAGACTTCTGGTTTTTCAGGACAGTCAAGTTCTGTTCAGTCCTCCAGCCATGCTAGCTAGTGATGGCGGCCCTGGGAAGCTGGGACTTTCCCTCCGTCCTCCTGTTCTTATCTGGGAGATGGAATAACATTCACCCAGTCCGGAAAGGCAAAGCGAGGCCTCCACACAGACTCTGGCAGGGACCAACATTGCCATTTGCGTGATGGGTGTAGATCAGTGCTTCGGACAAACGTGTGGTCTGGCACAGAGCCGCTCTGCCTGGATGCTGAACAGTGGGCCTCAGAGAAAACCAGAGAGAAGGGACATGGTAGTCGCAGGGGGAGAGGCTCCCCAGGGTGTATGTGGCCGCCCCTCAGAGGGCTCCTCTTTCCCATGATGACTTCCATGGGCTGAACTTGGTCTGCTGGGCCAGTGGCCTGCTGGGATCGGGGTGGGGGGTGACAAAGCTGGACTGTCCCCTGAACATCACTAGACTTGGGGCCTGGGTGCTGCCCCTTAGATGTTGTTTTCCAGGCTAGTGCTCTACCACTTTGTGAGACTCTGATCTCCAATTAACCACAGACTTTTCTGCCCTGGCTGACTTTGAACCACAATCTGCAGATCTCAGCCTCCTGAGTAGCTAGGATTACAGTACAGGCGTGAGCCACCAGCACCCAGCTCCACTTCTGGCTTTTTGCTAGCTCATTGGAGATGTGAATCTCATGGACTTTCCTGCCTGGTTTTTTGGCTTCGAACCTCAATCCTCAGCTCTCAGCCTTCTGGGTAGCTAGGATTACAACCGTGAGCCACTGGTGCCCAGCTTCAGATTTCGTCTATTTTTTTTAATATAAATTAAAACCAGATTTAATAAATGATAGTGAAATGTTCAATAGGATCGTTACTTGCAGCAATATTTCTATAACTCCATCTCCCTTCTATCTGTTTCAGTGTCAAACCCGACTCCTGGAAATGGTGGTTGTTCATTAATAATGGCTTAATTTCTGAAATCAAGATGTGTTTTCCTATGGTGTTGCTTTTTTTTCTTTCTTCTTTGTGCTTTCCTGAATTGCTGATCTTTTCAAAGCAGCAGGTAGCATTTATGAAAATACGAAACATCAAGAGCATTTTAACAAGCGCAGGCACCGAGTGAAAACCTTATTACCTTATTAACGATGCCAGGCAATATCGATGCAGTGTTTCACCCCCAAATATTTATTAATGTCAAATGCTGATTGAAAACAGGCAGTGTCACGATGTTCCATGTATTACAACGCGTTAATCCCACCCAAGAATTGTTTAAGACCACTTGCTAAAAATAGAAATGAAAGTAAACCTGGGGCTGCCCACACTAAAGGCCACCTCCCCACCCCCCGACCCCTGCCCAGCTCAACTGCCTGCATCCACAGCTACCTACTCACCCTGAAGGGGCTTCCCCAGCTACTGACACAAAGAGCGAAGGATCTGGAATGAGAATGGAGACAAAGGCTTTGCCCTCCCCGCTCCCCCCAAGACCTGTGTGAGGACCCCTGGGGTGGGGTCCCCACACAGGGGACAAAGCAGATGTCAGGTTCCAGCACCCTGGAGGTGTGAAATAGAGCCAGAGGCCCACCAAAGCCTCACCAGGTTGTACAAAGTCTTTTCAAAGTCTCAGCATCCTGTACCCCAGGACTAGCTGGACCAATGCTCCCCCAACCCCCAGGATTACTGAGATCCAGAACCTTCCTGTTTCTGGGTCTCAGCCACCCTGTTTGTGTGTATCTGCCAGGCATGGGGTAAGAGGACTTGCACCGAGCTGGGAAGGTGGCTCAGTGGTACAGTGCTTGCCTAGCATGCATGAAGCCCGGGGTTCGATTCCTCAGCACCACAGAAACAGAAAAGAAGTGGTGCTGTGGCTCAAGTGGTAGAGTGCTAGCCTTGAGCAAAAGAAGCTCAGGGACAGTGCCTGGGCCCTGAGTTCAAGCCCCAGGACTGGCAAAAAGAAGGAGGAGGAGGAGGAGGA